GATTATGAAGTTAAATAAAATCAAAATGAAAGCAGTCAATGGGACAAGAAAGCTCATGAAAATACATATATTCATCATTTTATATTTAGGCAAATATGTAAATCTGTCTGTCTATAAAATTCTATATTTGCAATTGGGAATTAACAGTGGTTTCTTCCTTGAAACAAGATGATGCGAATGTCGTGGAGATAATCGGGATTACTCAAGGGAGATAAGAAATGTTTTCTGATATATTACCATTCCCCGCACCACCTGTGTATATCAACCAAAAATGCTGCTTTCTCGCTCTTAGATAGATAGATAGATAGATAGATAGATAGATAGATAGATAGATAGATAGATAGATAGATAGATAGATGTTAAATTAATTATAGTCAGCAAATGTATTATAATTAATTTAAATGTTCATTGGGCAAATGAATATCTTTTAAAAATGTTCTGATATAATCATAAATTTAAGAATGTATCCATCTGTCTATCTCCCTATCTATCTATCTCATCCTCTCACTATCTCTAATATATATATATATATATGTATATATATATATTAATATATATATATGTGTGTGTGTGTGCGTGCGTGTGTGTGTGTGTGTGTGTGTGTGTGCGTGTGAGTGAGTGTGAGTGTGTGTGTGTGTGTGTGTTAATATTTGGGCAGCAATCTTTCTTCTAAACACGTTTCAATGAATATGACAGGAAAGTTTAATTAATTTGTACTTATTCTTCTCCACCATTCTTATATTTTTTCCGATTGGGTGAAGAAAGGTAGGTAAAAAAATCGTCAATCTCCTTTGAAAATATCGAAAGAATTGGCCGAAAGCGCCTGGGATAATGGACAATAATGACAGCTTCTGCACTCCCTTACTGCGAACAAAGTCAATAAAGTAAGAATGCAAGAGAAACTAGAAAAAAATTAATAAAATTTCCCTTATTGTACGCACATACGCACACACACACACACACACACACACACACACACACACACACATATATATATATATATGTATATAATATTTTTAAGTAATTCAACGAGTCTGAAAGAAACTTCAACAGAATACAGAAAGCACTGGACGGCCGTTTCGTCCTATATTTGGGACTCATCACCACTCTTGCTAAAATTTTCAGTGGTGGAACTCTACTAAGTTCTCTGTAATCATAGGACTGTGCCCCTGGAGCCACGACTACTCTCACCAAGTCGTGGCTCCAGGAGGCACAGTCCTATTGTTACAGATAACTCAGTAGAGTTCCACCACGGAATATGTGAGCGAGCGGTGCTATATTGAGTGTGATTTGCAATCTCTTCGTCACCGAGGCCCAGTTGGTATGATGTTCGCTTGACAACCTAACTGTCAGGGTTTCAATTCTCGGTAGTGGATGCGCACTGCTGATGAATCCCAAATATAGGACGAAACGGCCGCCCAGCGCTTTCTGCATTCTGTTGAGGTTTCTTTCAGACTCGATGAATTACTTAAATAGAATTATCAAATCCTAATAATTTCAACATATATATATATATATATATATATATATATATATATATATGGTATGCAATATTTATGGCTGAAAAAGAACAGTACCAAATATATTACGTATGTAAATGTGTCATAAAACGGCTTGATGTTGATCAGTGCTCCATTTTTAAATATATATATGTGTGTGTCTGCATTAGTCTGTGTGTATATATATATATATATACAAATATATATAAATGTTAATTTGAAACAAACAGAGATAAAAAGGTGTTGATTATATATATATATATATATATAATCCCCTTTTTCATCTCTTTGTTTCAAAATAGCATTTCATTCTCCATATAACTCCAATTTAATGTTATAAGGCTAATATCCGAGTTTAATTTGATGTAACCTCTTCTCTTTAAGACTAATGTCTTCCCCACTCCCTTTATTACTTCTTGTGTCTTTCGTCTGACTGAAACATTGAAATGGATGAATTCTCTACTTGGTTTTCGACGTTTTTTTTAAAGTTATCACAGTTAAATTTCTAATTCCCACAGGAACTCGGTTTATACCGGAGTTGAATAAGACGGACGAATCTCCTCGGTTGAAATAAGCCTAATCCCCATATGAGGTAATTTTCGGTTTCATTTTATACTAATTATATGATATGTAATAATAAATAGATTGAGCTATTTTTGTCGATCAGTTTTATTATTTTATAATACTATAATCCACTTGGATTATTTACCAATGGACTCATTACCTTTTTACCATATATATATATATATATATATATATATATATATATATATATATATATATATATGACGTCCCACGGTGTCGCTGCGCCAATCGTGACGTTTGCCTGGCCGCGTGACGACCAATGTGACTTGGTATTGGTCGCGGCACCAAATGTGACGTTCTAATCTTTTGCTGATTCGGATGGGAATCTGGTTAGATTCGGTATCAGCCTTGTCGTTCCCAGCTCGCCTCCAACGTCTGGTTACCGAAGTAACTGCTTTGATTTCTAGTCTAACTTACCCACGTTGTGATTTGATCTTAGGTAGACGAAATCAATCAGTCGCCGGGCCGTAAGGCAAGCTGAGTCCGGCCAAGGGTAACACCACACAAGTATATGTAAAAGAAAAGAAAATAATAACTCGAAAAGTTCAAATATGTTAAAAAAGGATAACAATACTTTATATCTTGTTTCTGAATACAGGACTACGTCTTTCTACCAACCCGCTATATGGATTAGTGACACTTTGAGTTTGTTAGGCGAGTCTTAAGTTGTTTGTTCTTTAAGAAACTGGTTCTTGGTGTATCTTCAGGCGATATTCGGAAAACTTGTTTTGGTGGTGTGAGTCTAAGTCGTTCTTTAAAAATAAATTGTTCTTGATTAGAAGTTGAGACGTGATTTGCGTGGAATCTTTCAAGTCAGCTATCTGCGAGGCGGGTCTCCAGAGCTCTCTGCTCACTGCAACTATTTGGAACTTAACTGGAACTGGAACTGCTTTTCACTCGCTGCGACTCTGCTTATATGGACGCCGACCAAAACCGGGGTGGGCTTGTCGGGGTTTGAGGTTCCTTGATAATTCTAAACCCACAAACCACTTCTTTGTTTTCGGTCAGGAAAATTTATTATTTTCCATTTTTGGAAGTCTTTCGTCTTCCCACCTTCCTCTGTTCTCATATTGGTATCTCACCATACCCTCAGAGGGTGCCAACGGTTTTCCTCTCTCTCTCACAGTGGCATCTCACACATATCCCCTCAATGGGTGCCAACAGGCCACCCCTCCTACTTCATATGATTACCTCCTCCTAACGCTCATGCCACCATTCAGCCAATGGGCGCTCAGCGGCGTGGGTGTGGCTAGACTGGCCTCGGTTTAAAAAATCTTGCTCAAAGAAAAAAAATTATCTTCCTTTTTCTTTTTTTTTCTTTTTCTTTTCTTTCTCTTTCTTTCCTTCTGCCCGACAACAAACCCTTGGTCTCTTATCTTAGCCAAATGCCACTTGGACTTTATCACCCGGGGCCTTCGCCAAACAAGTGGGTGGTCAACTGGACGTATTTGCATTCTGTCGCTAATTAACTGTTCCGATAAAATAGTTTTGCTATCATAGCCAGCCCTGACAATAAACAGATGCTCCTGTCAATGATATTCTGCATATAGGCAAAGGCTTAAGCTTTCCTTCATGGTGGTCAACGGACATTTTTTTTTTCGGTCAGCGCATGACATATTTAATTTTTATCTCTTTAGAATTCTGCGTGAGGTCGCTTGTCCAACTTGAAATGTTTACCATTTCCATGGGCAGATTGGATATATCTTATTCGCCGACCCGTAACATAAATCAGATTAAATCCTTATCTTACTTTCTCGACAGTAGAAATAAAATTTTACCACTTTTCTTTGTTAAAAAGAATAACATCGCTTAGTGTCCTTTTCGTGATGGCCTCTTATCACCTAAATTTTATTCTCGCCTTCTTTTTTTCTTTGTTTCTAGAGACCTAAATAGTGTCACATATCCACGCAAAGACTAGTTATATATCCTATTGCATAGATTGAATTTAAAAACTCTCATAATGAAAGTGGTTCTCAATAGGTGACACCACTGATTTTTAATTGATTTTGTGACCGGGCGCATAGATTTTGCAATCTATAAATATGTTTGAGAAAGCCGACCGCTCATTGTTAAATTACACAATGAAATACATAATAGATTGGATAGAAATTAAATTACTTGCATGCATTTGATCATTGTAGGTTTTTCCTATTGATTTAAACACCGCATCGATTTCACCTATTTTTTGTATTTTCCTTTTTTTTTTTTGATTGGAAATGCAAAACAGTGATATCTTTATCTCTTTTGTCTCATCTTTACTCAGAAATTTTCTAAACTGCCATATATATATATATATATATATATATATATATATATATATATATATATATATATATATATATATATATATATATATATATATATATACCTGCTTTCACTTATCTTCAGTTAAAGTAGCTTCGAGCAAATGAAGTTTGCATGTCTCAGTGAAGAACACCACTCTGTCAAACACGTTTACTTGCTCTACAGAGACAAATTATCAAAGAAATGTACCTGATAGCATAAAACACATCGCCATATGTCTGAAGTCTGAATACTAGTTCAGAAACAATAACATTGCAGATTCTTCTTTGGATGATAACAAGAATCTGTAAATATATAGCAGGAGGAACTGACCAGATGCGGCTGCTATATCAAAGCCAGGATGGAATGGAATGCTTGTGTGTAAGATAGATTGTAAGATAGATAGTATTAATGTTGATTGTATGGAAGATTGATTGTATTAAGATAGAGTTTATGGAAGACAGGTTGTATTGAAGATAGATTGTATGGAAGATAGATTGTATGGAAGACAGATTGTATGGAAGATAGATAGTATTAAGATAGATTGTATGGAAGATAGATTGTATGGAAGTCAGGTTGTATGGAAGATGGATAGTGTTAAAATAGGTTGTATGAAAGATAGATTGTATTAACATAGATTGTATGGAAGATAGATTGTATGGAAACAGGTGTATGGAAGACAGATTGTATGGAAGACAGATTGTATGGAAGATAGATTGTATGGAAGGCAGATTGTATGGAAGATAGATAGTATTAACATAGATTGTATGGAAGTCAGATTGTATGGAAGATAGCGTGTATGTAAGATCGTGTGTATAGAAGACAGACTGTAAGTAATATAGATTGTATGTAAGATAGGTTTTATGGAAGATAGATTGTATTGAAACAGATTGTATGGAAGATAGATAGTATTAAGATAGATTTTATGGAGGATAGATTGTATGGAAGTCAGGTTGTATGGGAGATGGATAGTGTTAAAATAGGTTGTATGAAAGATAGATTGTATTAGCATAGATTGTATGGAAGATAGATTGTATGGGAGACAGGTTTTATGGAAAATAGATTGTATGGAAGACAGATTGTATGGAAGATAGATAATATTAAGATAGATTGTATGGAAGATAGATTGTATGGAAGTCAGGTTGTATGGGAGATAGATAGTATTAAAATAGGTTGTATGAAAGATAGTTTGTATTAACATAGATTGTATGGAAGATAGATTGTATGGAAGACAGATTGTATGCAAGATAGATAGTATTAAGATAGATTGTATGGAAGATAGATTGTATGGAAGTTAGGTTGTATGGGAGATAGATTGTATGGAAGACAGATTGTATTGAAGATAGATAGTATTAACATAGATTGTATGGAAGTCAGGTTGAATGGATGATAGCGTGTATGTAAGATCGTGTGTATAGAAGACAGACTGTAAGTAATATAGATTGTATGTAAGATAGGTTTTATGGAAGATAGATTGTATGGAAGATAGATTCGGACAAGAAAAGATAAGTACTACGACACAAAGAACCAACTTTCAATATTCAATATAATCTTTCCATTCCATGTCAACAGAAAACGTTTGTCTGTAAAGGCACAATGCTGGTGAAGATAAACGTATTCGTTCAGATGATTAAATCATAGAAGTTTAGCTTTGGAGGTGTTATAATTTACAAGCAGTTCCTTGCCCCGAACATAGAATGTATATTGAAGAAAATTTAGAACACTTATATAAAAATCTCTATATCTCTGAGATGAGGTTTTATGATTATTTGCATTATTTACATTAATCAGTTTGTTATCCTCAGGTTTATTGCCATATTCACATTGTTTCAACCGTTACACGCTCCGGTCTTCTTCAAACACAGATAACTTCAAGGACAGATGGCCCAGTGGATAAAGACGTTGGTTAGATCCAGTGACTAGACCCAAAGTGTGGTGAGTTCAATCACAGGCCACAGCAGTGGCGTACTTAAGAGTTGAGTTAAAGGGAAATAACTGAGACATCCAGAAGAGGCATGACATGCTGAGCTAGAACAATCTATCCCGGTTGAAGAAAGAAAGTGTTCCTTCCGAAATTTAAATCACCTGAAGACGGCCGGAGTGTACAACGGTCGAAACATTAGGAATATGGCAATGAAGATGAGGATAATAATCTGAATAATGTAAATGATAAAAATTATTTATTCTTGCTTGAAAAGAATGAGATTATATTTCATAGTTGTCAGTGAAGCAAGTTCAGATTACCCACTGAACGTGCGTGAAACAATTTATAATAATAATAAGCAACCTTCTATCTGAAAGCACATATGGAACCGTGAAGCGACATGACCGCCGGTGTCGTCAAAAGATACGGAGTATAAATGAAGACCATCTATGAATATGGAATAAAGCAAGTTCGTGTCTGGATAAATTTCTCCCTCATCCAAGTAGTTGCTAAGTAAGCAAAAAAAAAAAAAAAAACATGTTCTAATTATCATTTGAAACCGCGATTAAAATTTCCAACCGGACCATTTATTTTCATCGACCGGGGTAGCTTGTTCTACTTCCACGCGCCATGCCTCTTTCGTATGTCTCAGTCATTTTCATATAACTCAACTCTCCAAGTTTTACTTCACTAATGTTGATGCTTGTTATTGAACTCACAACTGTTTAGGTCTAGTGACTGGATCTAAACAAATCCACTGAGCCATACGTCCTTGAGGATATCTGTGTCTGAAGAAGGCCGGAGCGTACAGCGGGCGAAACGTTGTGAATATTGCAATGGAATGAAGATGAGGATAACAATTCGGGTAATGTAAATAATTCATGTCATATGAAACTGTTGCATTAAATTCACTGTTTATAAAAACGTGAAATTATTTTCACAGTTTTCAAAAATACAGGATTTCCAATCGGATACATGTACCCACTAAAATAGCACACACACTACACACACACACATATATATATATACACACAAATATATATATATATATATATATATATATATATATATATATATATATATATATATATATAGTTTAGTGCTAACAGCAAGCAGAAATATTTCTCCTCCCGATGATGGCCATTTTGGTCGAAACTAATCGAGGAATCTAAATGGAATAATAATAAAAAAACGAAAGAATATTAATCTACAACCCAGTGTGTCTAAAGATTTTAATTTTTTTAATTTTTTTATTGTTCAATATATATATATATATATATATATATATATATGTATGTATGTATGTATGTATGTATGTATTAATTATATTTTCCAAACCTTTCCCATTGTTAGGTGTCTAAGCATCTAATAACTGTTAATTCCTCGATTTACACCAGTGGTCTTTACCAATAATGCTGTATCTCGAAACAGTGATTTTATGAGTCTTTTCCTGCTCAGCTTAACAAATCTCTGTGTATGCGTGTTAGTGTGCGTGTTTATGTGTTTGTGTGCGGATTAACGTTTGTGTATGTGCGTATGTGTGTGCAAAATTAGCACTATTGTAGCAGCGATATGAATGAGGGTGAAGTGCAAGGCTCGTGATGATAACACAGATGATAGACGGACTGAGAGAAGAGGTTGTGTGAGAGAAGAATTCGTGTCTTTCTCAGGGAAACGGACGGACGTAGCTGAGAAATGAGGGCCATTAAAATCGGGGAGCATATTTTTTTTTATGCTGCGGTCACCCATATAATATAAATTAATTTTATAATCTAACAAAGAGGCAATTAATTTTGTAGTCGAAAGAAAAAAAAAGGTGGAAAATTAAAAAAAAAAATGTTTTACAGAAAATACAATTGAAACGCGTAGGAAAAAGAGATGGAGTGAGAAACACACAGATAGATGGACAGGAACAGATATAACAGAGAGAGGTGTAGGAAGCAAATTCGATTTTGGCATTGTAGTCTGTGTAAATCACTTTTTATGCATAAAAATACGCTTAAATAGTGTGTTTATCAGTGTCTATTTGTTTGACTAGCTTCAATCGAAATTGGTAAAGAGGATACTTGAATATTTGTTAGAATGTATGTGTTTATATCGAGCGGTGGCTTTTTGTATGTAGCGTGTGCGCATGCGCAGAGAAATTTTATTACGGTTCAGAGATCAACTCGTTGAAAAATGGCGATTTGTATCTGAGGAACGGTAAGGAGAAAACAAAAGGAACAAAGGCGAAGAAGAAATAATTATATTTTATTTATTTAATGACTGAGACAAGATAAACAAGTGGGCTTAATGATAGTTTGAGAGAGAAATGCCGTTAACCGTGGCTGGAATTTAATTATCTTGAAAAAAATACTTGTAAACATAAACAAGAAGTCTATTAAATTTGCTATTTTTTATGAGGATATCATTTTGTGAATTCCGTTAATAATGCTTTAACAAAAGAGCTGAGTTTCTTAAAATGTCTGAGAATTCGTGATTATTAATTTTATGTAAATCGAAACCTAAAACTTTAGATAAAGCAATGACATTTCTAATCTAGCGTCAATATTTATATATATATATATATATATATATATATATATATATATATATATATATATATATATACCTGTGTGTGTGTGTGTTTGTTTGTGTGTGTAACAGGAAAGAGAGAGAGAATTGGAAAAAGACGTTATTAAATAGCATTTGTTTCTTGTTAAGTTCTTTAAAGAAGGAGCGGACCAGAGGATGGATTCCCGTGCGTTCTAACTGTGAATTCTTTCATATAGCACTTATTTTATACCTAAGTGAATATTGACTTGTAAAATTAAGGTTTTCTGTAATGTGTGTCTTCCAGGTGAGCTATTGTTGTTGACTACGATGTAGTGTACACACGCACTTATATATTGAAACATGGTGATTCATGTGTAGCGAAGAAACCATATTTTAAATGAGTTAATTTATAATAACTATGCTCTGTAAATTTACACTGAGCACTGTTTTGTAAAAATAAAAAAAAACAATAAGATCACCGGATTATATATCTGACAGTTCTTTCTTTTTATATTATATGTAGAAATTATTAAGAGGATTTGATAATTATATTAAAGTAATTCATCGAGTCTTGAAGAAACCTCAACAAAATGCAGAAAGCGCATCCGCAAACGAGAATTGAAACCTTGACAGTGAGGTTGTCAAGCAAAAACCATACCAACTGTTCCACCGGGGCTCGGCGATAAAGTGATTGCAAATCAGCTCAGTATAGCGCCGCTCAAATCAAATTTTCAGTGGTGGAACTCTACTGAGTTCTCTGTAACCATATGACTGTGCCCCCTGGAGCCACGACTACTATCGCCAAGCCGCTCACTCTAGAGCATTAGAAGACGGTTCAAGCCCGGCTGGAACATTTGACATGATGTTCGCTTGAAAACATAACTGTCAGGGTTTCAATTCTCTGTAGTGGATGCGCACTTCTGATGAGTTCTAATATAGGACGAAACGGCCGTCCAGTATTTTCTGCATTCTGTTGAGGTTTCTTTCAGACTCGATGAATTACTTATATATATACAAACACACACACATATGTATACAAAAAAAAAAACAAATGGTTTATTATATTGGCTCGTCTTGCGACTTGTTCTTTCTCTACCTCCCCTTTTAACTAACTTATTTATAACCGGATTATATATCTTACTGTTGTTTTTTCTTTATATATATATATATATATATATATATATATATATATATATATATATATATATATATATATATATTGAACAATAAGAAAATAAAAAATAAAAAATTAAAATCATTAGACACACTGGGGTGTAGATTAATATTCTTTCGTTTTTTTATTATTATTATTCCATTTAGATTCCTCGACTAGTTTCGACCGAAATGGCCATCATCGGGAGGAGAAATATTTCTGCTTGCTGTTGGCAGTGAACTACAGAAATGAATCTGTATCTGAATATATATAAATATATATATATATATATATATATATATATATATATATATATATACAAACACACAAAGACGAACACAAACATATACTCACAAACGCGCGCGCACACACACACACATATATATAATGGTCAACTATCTCAGCACGAGTTGGATTTGGGTACCGGTAGATAAAAACCGTACATAAAATCTTAACACGACCAAAATTACGTAAATAACGAATCAAAACACCTACTTTTATACTTAAACTTTTACACAAATCAGTACAATGTAGATTAACTAACTCCAGCAATAAAGAAATATTTGATGAAGCTAATGTTAAAAATGTA